TTGTGTTAGTACCTTTCATTGGATGCATGCGAAAAAATGGCGTTTGGTTTCATAAGTATGACAATTTCTTATAATTTACAAGAAACTCAGCTTATCATGATGATTGAAAATTTTCACAAAAATCAGATTGAGAACGATAACATTTAGTGAAATATAAGTGGACACAATGATATCTCATTACTTTGCTACACACCAATGTAAATGACAAGATTTTTTAAAACTCTCCGAACTGTTTGGAAAGTTTGTCACAAACATGAAAGTGGAAAATACGTTTAATTTGAAAAATTTTGACAATCCTTTTTCATAATGTTTTATTCAGAGTAAAAAATTATTCTTGTGGAAACAAAAAAAATAAATAAATAATAAAAAAATGAGGATTTCTTTGGCCCTTGATTTTAGTGAAATTGAATTAGCTTAGTGGAAACTTCCTAATTTGCAACTTCTATTCTGTCAAATTCATTTCTGTATCTCATTTATTATTTATTGGGATAATTTGGATTGCCCTCGACCCCCGCGACCTGACCGGTCGGTCGATCCTCGTTGAGGGCGTTGCCCCCGAACCCCTACGAGAGGTGCTGCGTGCTATCGACCTACCTCTACCTTTTTTTTTCTTTTCAAATCTACTCTTTTACTTCTAAATATCTAATTTCTTCTGTAGATATACTCATTAATATTGACTTCACATACTTATCCTAAAAAGGGGGGCCAAAAATGGAAAAACCAGCTTCTTGTACACGGACTGCCCCCACAAACATCAAATTCAAATTTCCTACATCAATTTTCCATCGCCTTCCAAGATTTTTTGTACAAAAAAATATCTTTGTTGAGCTTACAGAAAACCTACTGACTGCAAGGATTTTGAGCTCTCATTAGACGAACAAATAGATGGAACAGAGATGATTGTAATGATGAAGAATTATTCTTTCCATGCTTCTCTGGATGTATATTTGCTCTTTGTTTTAGTTTTTACATAACAATTCGAAAGATAAATTCTCTAAGTTCAATTAAGCTCATTTTGTTAACCTTGCTTATATCTCCCTTTAATCCTTTATATTCAACGCTAATATTATCTTCAAAATAATAAAATTCATGCATTGCACTGTCATAGCTAGTATATTTATATAGGAGAATCTTCTTTTGGTGGCCAAATTGTAAAGTTGTTGTTACTTGTCAAAAGGTTAGCCAACGCACCAAATGTCCAATTTTTCTGCTAAATTTATAAGCCTGCATGGCTGCATTTGATATATTATTTTCTTTGACTAAAACTTTCTCTACACTCCATGCCTAACTTTATGCTTAAGCAATCTCTAAAGGGATAAAATAAAATCCAAAGCCTATTGAATTTTTAATATTACTTTTCTCTTCAAAGTGATAAATTAACAAAGTTAAAATTTCCATGGGATCTTTGTACTTTTGACGACGTTTTAATTTCATTATTTACCCCTAAATGAGACTCAAATTTAGGTTATTAATATCATAAGATTTCGCTGATACAACTTGAACTAGGTCTTAATCTCGATAACATTCATGTTAGTTACTGAACTTATTTTTATTTTTTCATGTTGATTTGTCAATTTATATATATGATTTTGACCAATATAGTGACGTGATAATCTAGTTATTTGTTAACTAGGCTGTCACGTTAGTTCTTCTGGTAGTCAAATTGAACAAACTCCGACATAGTGACTAGTGGATAAGTAATTTTTTTTCTAAACTGTGTCATGATTGTCTATCCCGAGTTTACTAGATTTCGTTGAGCAAACTTTGTATATCCAGTGGATAACGCTGTTTTTTTTTTCTTCTAAAAATTAAAATTGAGGGATCGTCTACAACCCCTAAAAATCTATCCATCATTCCAACAAAGGTATACATCAAATTTCATGTGGTCTAGATTCCAAACTCCCTTGATCAAGACTATGATTATGACTTCATGTTGAGACAGTTGAGCTTGATGTGGGGGCTAACACTAGGACCGCGGGATTGATAGGGTTTTATCAATTACGATATCCTATTTTGTTTTCTCGATAAAAATGAATGATAATTTTGCTTTTTAATGTCAACCTAATCCATACTCTATAATGCCCAACTCATCACGATCACCCTTTCTTCTCCAAGTTGTTTAAAAATATTAATTCCATAGTTTTCGAACTTATATAATTTGATTAATCATTCAATTATTGCCAAGGAAAAAATATTCAGATTATTACAAATATTCTGCAATCATGTGCACATGCCAAGTTGTCCATGATTTGGGCAGGCAACGAGATTGCGTTACGAAATGCTGTATTACCTAATCCACACAAAATTATAGTTAATGGTCTCTTATTACATTATGTTTTTTTGGCACGTAAATTATATGTTTTTGCCAGCCAACCCATGTGGAGGATGTACTAAAATTAGTTGAAGTTGCCAGGTTCGAATAACTATCTTAAAAACACAGGCTCATCTTTCATGTCCCCCCCCCCCCCCCCCCCCCCCCCCCCCCACCCCCCCCCCCCCCTCCCCCCTTCAACTTGTTCTGTAAAATCAACATACAGCTAAAGACAAGAATTTCCATTTTTTTTTAATAGCTCACTGATCGAACGATCTTGCATTGAAGTTGAATGGAGTTAAGCGATTTCTCAAAATTGTGGGATGTGAAAAAATATCGGTAGGAGAGTTTTTTGTCTCAGAGAGAAACCCTAGTGAGAGCAGTGATGGACGAAGTAGAAGCGAGAATGTATACATTATAAAGTCGAGTTTGTCCGATCTCTATGTATTGGGCTGAGTTATGGTGGGTTTTGAAAATAAAAATAAAAACAGAAAAAAATCTGAATGAATGAAGAGGATGGAATCATCTGAAGACAAAGGTTTGATTATGTTAAGACATATTCATTCCGTAAAGGTGAATTGTTGTCACGCTTTATTTAGTGGTAGGGAGTTGGGTCATTTCACTCATGCTTTTCTAGCACTAATAACTTTTTGGAAATTTGCATAGTTGGTCCTACAGGTATTGTTTTGAGTAAACTTACCTACGGAGCCTGGCTTCCTCCGGTGCATATTAACTTAGTTGCGCTTGTGTGGTCGGTTTTGCTTGGCGGCCACCTTCCTTAAGTTAACCCCACACAATCTCACGTCAAGCTATCCTTGTTGAGCAAGAGGGGATTTTCAGTGAAACGGTGTAATGGATAATAAAATCTCCGATAAAAGCACTCATTGAACCTACATTAACACCGAAAGATGAAAGTTAAGGGAGCGATAGGATTAAATACCCTAGTAGCCATAAACAATGGATACGACATTGTACGTGTTGTCCCATCTAGTACTATAACTAATGCATTAAGTATCTTGCTTGTGGAAAATGAACTCAAAGCAATTGATAGCAGTGGAGAATGTTGTTTAATTCGATCCTAACTTTTAGAAAGGTGAAAACTTCATTATGATTACACAACACCAAAAGAAATCTAAATATCCTTTGAATTGTTAGATGACTTGTGAAAAACATATCTCACTTCTAATTTTCTAGAAACTGGCCTAACTTGAAAAATAAAACCTAACTTTATAAAATGAGAAAAGTAACAATAAAAACATTATTGAGAAATTGAAGCAGTTAATGATATTGTGAATTATTTTTTCAATTATAAAATAATTTTCTTTTTATCTAAAAATTGATGATCATTTGCTACTTGAAAAATAAGTTGAAGCCAAAATGGAAATTTTCCCGATTAAGTAGTTGTTAGGGGTATAAATTTTACAACGAATAATTACATAAATATAAATCAATATATTAGGATCTTGAGTTACTCATCTTAAGAAGATTGACATTTTAAGATAAAACTCAAAATCTTAACAAGGTAGGTCATTAAACTTGGACAAATAATTTAATCTGATTAAAACTAAGAAAATGAACACACGAATTTTAAGATCAATCTGTTTAACACCAGTCAGCATCCTGCGTCGACATGTTAAACGATAAATTTCACTTTGAATAATTACCAAAATATTGATCAATATATAAAAAGTTGAACTATTTTTCTTAATATGATCGATCTTTTAATATGAAATTTAAGTCTTAATAGTTGTATAATGTAGGGGGTGTTTGACACCCATTTTTGTGAAAGAATGTGTTTTTGAATAGTGATTGATGGAAGAACGTGTGGTTAAAAAGTAAGAAGAATTCTTAGATTTATGTGTAATATTATTTTATTGATAGAATGTGTGGTTGAAATGAAGAAAGAGAAAAAAATTGAGAATGAGAATTAGAAAAAAATGGGTGCCAAACGGGGGCGTAATATGTATTTGTTCTAAGGCAAAACAAAAGATATTGGTTCCATTTTATATTGTGGGTCAAGGAGTTTGGCTAAGCTGGCCTGACAACTTTAAACGTCATGCCGGCCAGCCTCGTTCATAAGCACCCCTAACCTCACCGTACGCCCATACCACACATCATTCTGAAAGCAAAAGCAAGAGAGAGAAAAAAAAAGCTGGAAAAAGAAGCTCTCAATAAAGAGGAGAATTCAAGAAAGAAGGGGGGTTTTCTGTGCTACCCTTGGAGAAAAATGACTCAAACTCAGAGGACACTAGAGAGCCAACTCTCTCTCACACAATCTGGCCAGATTTCAGGAAGTCTGAGTTTCAATGGAACCTTAACAAAAGAAGACGAAGAGATGACCAAATCTGCACTTTCCACTTTTAGGGCTAAGGAGGAGGAGATTGAGAAGAAGAAGCTTGAGGTCAAAGAGAGAGTTCAAGCACAGTTGGGCCGTATTGAAGAAGAAACTAAGCGTTTGGCCACCATCCGTGAGGTAAAAAAAACAAACCCTTATTATTATTATTATTTTTAATATTTCTTATGATAATTATTATTTTTTTCGAAATTAAGAGTGAAATTTTTGGACAAGAAAATTCATTTTTGTTCGTGGGTATTTCATAATTTTTCATGCGTTCCAAACATTTTTAGTTGTTAAACTTCCTAATTTTTCATGCGTCTTAGGAGAAAAGGTTGTCCTTTCACTTTCGTCCCAAAATAATCAAGGGGACATTTTTGCTGTGGCAGGATTTATTATTCAATTCTCGGGTTTCTTATTATTTATGGAGTTTTAACTTCTCACCTTACAAGCTAATTAATTCAACCCTTAAAATTAGCCATTTTCTGGTTTTATGGTCTTGTATTTTTATATCAGATTCGTCCAAAATGATAAATCTGAGATTGTCTTTGAATTGGGCGAAGTACCTGAAATGAATCCCCTGAATATACGTTTTTAATAATTAGATGGAAAATTAACAGTTGCCCTTACTCACTTCCTTGAATGAACTGTAAATTAATGACCAGGAACTAGAGGGGCTAGCAGATCCTATGAAGAAAGAAGTTGCTGTTGTTAGGAAAAAAATTGATACAGTGAACAAGGAATTAAAACCACTGGGACAGACTTGCCAGAAGAAGGTATAATATCCGCCACCACTTTCAAGAAATCCCACAAATAAGCTCACATTTATCTTGTTTTATGACAATGTAAATTGTGTACTTCATTTATTGGCTGAGTAAATTCGACATAAACCATCTGATTTTCGGAATTCAATGCGATTGTAATAGGAAAAAGAGTACAAAGAAGCTCTCGAGGCTTTCAATGATAAGAACAAGGAAAAAGTGCAGCTGATTACAAGATTGATGGAGGTGAGCGGAATCTAAAAATTGTTAGCAATTTTAAACTGTATTCTTTTCGGGTTCTTGAACAATTATTCTAACTACTGCTGGTTTGAATTTGAGGATATGCAGCTTGTTAGCGAAAGTGAGAAATTGAGGATGAAGAAGTTGGAGGAGCTGAGCAAGAACATAGAGACGGTAAACATAGCCTAATTTTCACAACTAGTTAGATTCGTGTGATGTATGTAAGCATGAAATTTCTATTTATATGTGTTGTTTTTTGTGGGTTTGGTTGTATTCTATGGTTTTTCTTGTTTGTTCGTTTAGTTTTCGATGGAAGGTTTCTAATTTTAGGAAGACGAATTTCCACTATAAACAGATTTGTAACTAAAACAGGTCTCGACTACGAATTCTTCTAATCTAGTGTTCCTTTTCCTTGTATTTTTCGAGTTGCCCTGTCTCATGTTTTGTTGAGGAAGCATTCCTCTGATTGATTTATTGACATTTCCTAGTTGTATTCCTCTTCACCATAAGCCCGAATCCATTGTTCATATAAAGCGTTCTACTACCATAGGATTTTCATTGCACAATTCGTGTTTTCTGAAAGTACACAGATGTAGTTGTTAAATTCTGGATTGTTGGCCTTTGGGCGACACTTGCTATAAGATCCCATGATTAGCGCAGAGTAGAATTGTCGAAAACATGTCTGTCATGTTGTTGGATACTTTGTTTAGGAGGAAAAGTGCGTCTCTATGCTATAATACGCAATGAATTTACATGAGCTGCGTTACATTTCTATATGATGAATGCGGTGTTTCTCTGTCTACGTCTAAATTTAAACCTCGTTAGTGTAAGTGCATGAACAATAAAGCACAGACAAGTTATCCAATGCCATTATTTTGTGAACTTTGACATTGAAATCTAAATTTGCACGCTCATAGCATGCTTGTTTTGAATATGAATTGAATGATTTAAGGATAAAGAAAAGGCAACCGATTTAACAGTACAACTACCAGCAATTATATGTTTCTTCTTTTTGAATTTGCATAACCAAGACAAAGTAGTTGTTGACTTGGGATTTATTGAAGATGACAAAACAAGACAAAGCTAAAACAACTTGTGTTGGTTCTGTCTTGGGCTTGTGCTCCTAAAGGACCAAAACTATGATCTATTTCCTTGACACACAAAATAAAAGAGGTCAGTTGCTATGTTAACAGCGACTGTAAAGCTTAATTTATGATGTCTTGACCAATGAATTGTGTTTTGTATTTCGTGGGGGCAATCTTCTATTGAGATTACTGTAGGATGTAGCAGTGAACCAACAGAATAGCAAATAAAGATTTATATAATCGATATTATATTTATTAAGAATAACACGGGGTGGTATCACATCACCAAGAAAATTCTCTTTTCGAAATTTTTTGGCGACCAATTGATTGTGGCAATTTCCACGGCCATTGTTATAGCTTCGACCCCGATTCGTGGCGGCATCTTGCCTTGAAAGAATTCACACGTCGCCACCTGCTTTCCGGAAATTTTAGTAGATCTGCTGCTTAATGCTCACAAAAAACAGTAGGCATATACTATAGTCAAATGAAAACATCTGACATACTATCAATGTTATTTATCATTATGATGATTGAGTATCGGTGATGTGATAATTCATTTTCTCTCACATTTATCTCTCTTATAAAAATTGAAATGTTCAATTTCATTATTTAACTTAGACTGTCACGTTACTGATGTTCTATCATCATAATGATAAATATTATTATTGTAGTCAAGTCGTTTAACATGAATAGAGTAGGATCGAGATATATATAATAATAGAATTTTTTCTGAAAATAAACGAATATATACATTCTGCATCAGATCCTTTTAGCTATTAAATAAATTCAAAATTGACATCATAGTGGAATATTATTTATATACTTTTGCCTAATTAATCATGCTAATTATAAAAACAATCGAATAATCGATTATTTACAAATTAAATGTTGGGCTGGAACTGGAGGCCCAAATCCCAATTTATATTTGAGTGGGCTTTTGAAGTTCGGCCACATTCCAGGAAGGCCTAACAATAATAATAAACCCTTTTACACAAAAACAATCTCTTATTGTGCATTTTACTCGTCAGTGAATGGGTGAAGAGTATGTATAGGTGTGTGAGAGTGAGGAAGAAGTGAGAACATAATCAAGTATCTTGTTGACTTTCAGTTGTATCTAACGCATTTAAGTCAAATTCTTGGATTAGAGAATTTTTGTCATGCCATTTTATTCCTTTAGGGAACGTTTGTTACATCATTTTAGATGATAAAATTAGGAGGGATTGTAGTAAGGTGAATTAGGGAGGATTGTTCCAATAAGTATTTGGTGTTATACCGTGTTAGTATACATTACAAGTAATAAGAATTTTTTTTTAAAAAATTTGTCATTATTTTTGTATAATATTTTTAAAAAAATATTATTAAGTGAATTTTGTTGCGTAATTTATTTATTTGCTTATACTTGAATTTTTAGTTATAACCTTCTCAAACTCCTCTTCCATACGCTTAGAAAGTATGAATTTGGTCAACACTCGTACTAAGACTATTACACAGCTAATTTAATGGAAAGATAATGAATTTAGCTCCTGTTTGAACCACATTAAAATTTTCATTTTCATTCTTGTACTCATTTTCAACTACACATTATTCAATAAATAATATTTTTCATCATATCAATAACTTTTCTTTCGTTTTTAACAACACATTCTTCATCAATCAACTATTCCAAAATACATTCTTTCAAAATGATATGGCTCAAAACACACCCTTAGATTTTTGCATTTTTGGTTTCGTGAGCTCTAGAGCTTATCATTTAAGCTCATGTGAAATTAAGGGGAGATGTGCCTAAGATGCCATATAAGCAAATTGTGCACGCTAAGAGAGGAGGCTCAAAACCGAGACTATCATAGTAATTTGCATCAAATGGGAAGCTCGTAATTCACAATTTTCATTTAGCTGGTCATGCCTACCGTCATGCTTGCCATCTTTAAGTTCTTCTTCTAGGGACTTTGCTTAGTATAGTATGAAGTCTAAAATAGCTGTCGCAATCAAGAAATTCGTTAGAAGAGATATCAGATCGACGTGTCTATCAATATGATTTTTTTCCTTCAATAACTATTCATTCTTCCTTTCTCCTCGAACTAGAACTAAGAGATATGTTTGCTATTACTAATTCCTAGGGCATTGAATAAGCTAAAACTATTTTCGGCCATAATTCAATTTAACAAATATTACTATTTATAGGACAATGTGAGTTTGAGAGGAGCTTGAATTGAGATATTAAGAGAGACAAGATGGGTAGGAGAATACAATATTTTTTGAGATCAAGGAGCTGGTTCCTCATCAGAGTTTTGCTAAGAGCAGTAGTAAAATTCGATAACTCATCTTAAAATGTCAGTCTTATTAAGAATAATAATTCAAGTCTTTATTCATTTTTTTTTTGTGCGATGTGAGATCCAGTCCTTACCCTTTATAGAAATGTTTCCTAGTTTGTAAATTCCAATAGAAAGATCCCTATAAATAGCTATAAAGTAAAATATCATATATTAAGCTAGAATAATAAAATGAAGATCTCACAATATTTCCATAGCGTTATTAAAAATTTAAGTCACACATAATGTTACTCGATAAATTAAAAATCAGGAATAAAGTTTATTCTTCAAAAATATAAAATTTGAATATCAACTAAAAGTTACATATATCATTTCTATCCCTAAAATCCATCATTTAACTCCAACAACCAATCCCACTAACAACCTTTTCTCCCTTTGGAAAACATTAGAACACCAAATATGTTTTGGACCTACTCAAATCAAACTCTAAAATCATACTTTACTATCCATTGGAGGGAAAGAATTATTTATTTAACTTAAATTACTATATAATAATTGAATAATGAACTGATTTGCTATCTTCATGATGTTTGACACACGCCAAGGGAACACAAATTTTAAAGAGACTTGATGGATAAGGTTGAATAGGAGAATGTACGTTCTCGTTAAACCATTGAAGAAAAATAATGTGTGATTGTCTGCGTCAAAAACAGTGGTGCGATAACTATATTATTAGTGTCGGTCATGACTAAATTTACTGTACAATTTACAAAATTTTAACTTCTTACTTTAGATTGTTCGATACTAGAAAATTCATGATTGGAAATTTTCGATAAAAGTGATTGCTAGTTAAAATCTTTAATCATTACAAACTAAATAGAATACCAAGGGCACCAATCAGCAGTATCAGTGCTACAGTTTGGGTCGGGTTCACTTAAGCCTTATAGTTTTGGCCCATTTAGATCTCACTTTTCATTGAAATAGTGGGTTGGTCGGCCCGAAATATATCATGGGAAAGTCTTGCATAAACGGGCTCACGTCCTGCAGATTCATATGAATGCCTGCAAATGCTTTTTTCATGGATTTTTAACACCACGTACCTCTTTGTTTGGATATATATTCTCATCCTTTTAATATTCACTAGTCAGTACTGAACGTGCATTACATGCTATTTTGAAATACTTTATAAGTACTGTAAAAGTAATATTTGATACCAATTTTGTTGGAATGATTTGATTAGTGTCAAACGAACTAAAGAAAATAAAATGTACGATAGAAATAAAGAGAAGAAAATTGTACTTTCAAAACTCAATTGTTATGATTAAATTTTTTTGTATGATGAAATATTATAAATGAGCAACCTTTTTTTTAAAACATTTGGTACATAAGAATTAATTTTTAATATATGAAATTAAACACTCACTAAAATTCCTACATACATGAATAGAAATAAATTCATTTATAATAACTCTAGATTTATATAGATCAATATTTATTAAGTCTAGATTAATGTGAACGTTAAATAATTGAGAACTAATTAAAACGAAATTCATTCATTACAAGAATTTTGGAATATTTATTACATATTGAAAAACGAAAAGTAAAGTATTATTGAAATAATAGTGTGTTTGATTGCCATTATTTTTCATGAAAAATGTGTTTTTTTCATCCAATTTTCTATTTTTGTGCTTTTTGACTGACCATTTTTTTCCCAGAAAATATTTTCCTACTTTTGGTCACATGACCATATTTTCCTTGAAAACAAGGAAGATAATTTTATGGGGAGAGGTGTTTTTTATTTTTCAAATAATTAACTTACTCTTTTTCTCTTATC